AGTAATAACAACAATAATCAATATCATCATGGGGTTGTCGGCAGCGGCAGCAGGACTGGCCTGGGGCTGGTCTAAAGGCCTCGGGGGCCGCATCTGGCCCCCGGGCCGCAGGTTGCCTACCCCTGAACTAGAGGATCCTTGAACTCATTAATCTCAGTTTCCATGACAAGAACTGTCTTGACTTGAAAAAATGCATGGAAGTAATGAGTTACAAATAGAGCAGTTATGCTAGCTATGAGCCATAATCAATCAATCAATCAATCAATAGAACAGTTGTCTTTAACTAGTTACTGCTTTAGGTAACAACAGTGGGAGGAAAGCTGCACTTCAAACATAATATAATGAGTCAAATATGAAGTTACCTTCTTGATGTACAGTCAGTCCTCTGTATCCACAGATTTAGGCATCCACAGCTTGAAAATATTTTTAAAAAATTATAAATTCTAACAAGCAAGACTTGATATTGTCATTTTATATGAAGGACAACATTTCACTATGTAATTGTATATAATGGGACCTGAGCATCCACAGATTTTGGTATCCATGGGGGTCCTGGAACCAAACCCCAGTGGATTCCAAGGGCTCACTGTAATGAGTAAGAATGTCTTGTTACTTTCAAATGTTACTTCTTCAAGACATTTTAGAGGCATTTGGGGAGGAATTGTTCCATTTCTTTTATAAATCCTGTGGTTTTTCTCTCAAAAAATCAGTGTTCTGCAACATAAAATCCATAAGCAATGCAACAAACAGTAAAATGAGTTACTTTATCTGATACTGGATCAGATAACATAAACAAGTACTTTTCAAACACTGTAATGAGCAATGGGGATGAATGGCTTATTTTTTAAAAAAAACTTAATTTAAAAAAATCCATGGTGTTGTTAACTGCCCTTGAATCAATTCATGGTGACCCTGTGGGTGAGGTATCTCCAAGACTTTCATCTTTGCTCAGGTCCTGCAGGCTCAGGTCCTCTTTGCTCAGGTCCTGCAGGCTCAGGCTCATGGCCTCCCGGATCGCGTTTAACCAGCCTGGCATGTGCTCTTCCTCTGTTTCTACTGCCTTCCATCTTTCCTCGCATTATTGTCTTTTCTAATGATTCATTTTTCCTCATGATATGACCAATGTACGACAGCCTCAATTTTAGTCATCTTGTCTTCCAGAGTTCAGGCTTCATCTATTCTAGAATCCATCCTTTGTGCTAAACTGATGCCTTCAGGGATGGTGAAAGTCACTATTGAATCCTGAGTGTTAAAGAAAACATTACCTGGTTGATTTCTGTGCATGGAAGAGGGAAGGTCTCCAAAATCCATCTTCTGGGACTTTTCTTAGTAATTTACTGGATTATGTGCCAATGTTTTTTTATGGGACCCTGTAAAGAGTGAGCAGGAGGAAGGGAGGATTGTGTATGCTAGAGCAGGAGGTGGGAGCAAAGTGGTGGTATGTTTGTTTAGGTTGCAAATTCGCTCTCCTCTGTACCTGACCCCAGTTATGAAAACTGAGAGAGGGAGAGGGAGAGAGAGAGGGACCATGCCTTTGCCTGGCAAAAACACCACCGCTGCCACAGTCTGGGGAGCAGTCTAGGGGTAGGATTTTAATCTAATATTATCAGAAGCAAATTGACCAGATGCTTATAGAGTTTGCCCTCCTTTTGGTCAGAGTCTACATCCATGGATTCCACCATCCACGGCTTAAAAATATTCCCCCTGCCCCAAAATTCCAAAGAGCAAAACTTCATTTTGACATTTTTTTATAATAGACACTATTTTACTACTCCATTATATATAATGGAACTTGAGCATCCACAGATTTTGTTATCCACAGGAGGTCTTGGAATCAAACCTCACCCCACTGTATTAGCAACATATCTAAACCATTCATATGGTTTTGTTACCCAAAGAAAGGTGGAAGACTGGGGCATCCCCACCAAATATGGCATAATTACTTTAATTGTTAGAGAAATTAGACTTGCAAGAGGTTAGGTAACCTTTAGGAATGTTTGCACCTATATGTACCAGTAATAACTGAGGAGAAGTCCATGTTTTGGAGTGAATTAAAAGGGTTTTAGTTAGAAAAATGCAGAGTACAACCACACATGTACACAATAGCAATTCACACACACACACAGCATTCAGATCTAACCAAAATGGAAATATGGAAATGGGACAGTGGAGTTTAAGGGTGGGGGGATTAGTACCTCTCCAATAACTTGACCACAGAAAGTTAAAGTGCCTCAGACTGGGAGTTATCAGAGCAACACAGAAAAACATATGCAGAGTGAAGTACAGTATGCCGACTGTGTGCACAGAAGCTAGGATCCTGGAACCAATATTTATACCTAAATCTAGCCTCAATCAATGGGCTATCTTGCCAGGTAACAAAGGCTGGATGTCCTTTACAAGGAGCTGACAATGGGGTTCCAGAAGGGTTGGTGGCTTTAATTTTAGTGTGACAAAAACAGTGATGGATCAAGACATCCCCAGGATTGATGGACAGGGAAATTTGGTTGGGAACACCACAGGGGATAGGCAAAGAGGTCAGCATACTGCTTTGGGTGCAAGGAGATCCTTTGTCTCCAAGTGCAAGAGGAAATGTAGATGACTTGTGGGAAGGAAGGAACAATTGATTCATCCATCTAGATTTGATTGTCCCATTACCTGGATGTGCACATGCCTCAGGACATACTCTTTTTCTCCTGGGAACCTGGCCTAATGTTCCTAGAAGATCAATGATTTCTCAAAAACATGTTATTTGCAGATATGAGATATGAAATATGGGGACTCCGAAATATAGTGCTGGGTATGCAAGAGTGTGCTAACAGCTTCCACTGATGTCAGTAGTCGTTTCCATATGGTTATTTTCACCAGGGGCACCTATCCCCTTGCACCATTCCCCCATACTGTTGTTATGTTGATCTGTTTCTGTGTTGTTGCTTGCTTTTATCCATGGTTAGTCATGGCATCAGTTGCATAGAAAATTCTCTCTCTGGGTGTAAAAAGACCGCTTGCTACAAGGCCATTACTTTACTGGGAGCAAGATACTGAATGTTTGAATCTTACCTATGAGTCAGCAGCAAGCTAATGTATTGGGCAATTCAAGCTTTCTAAGGCTTCAGCCTTTGTTTAGGAAACAAAACATTTAAATATCAAAGCTAAGCCTGCTAGAGATTAGCTTTCATTAGCAGAGTGATGGGAAAAACATGTCCCAGTCTGCTATTGAGAACTGAAATTGACTCAAAAACAAACAAGACAAAGTAGCTTGCAGTTAATAAAAACTTTACTAATTGCTTGAATCTTCATGTGCATAGGGAGCCTCCATCCTAATTAGCTACTGAATAGATCAGGTAAAAGAAGAAAGCTTTAGGTCTCACCATTTTTCAGAGAAAGATATATGGGAGGGAAGAGATGGCGACTAAACAGGGAGAGAAGAAAAGTCACTTTGTGTGAGTGACTTTGGAAAATAAAGTGACCTGAATCACATGGTTTGTTTATCAGGTTACAAAAGGTATTTATTGCCGTGTAATTCAAGGCTAGTAGTGAGAAAATGGGAAGTTTTAAGTGAGGAAAGACAGCAGAGCTTGACAAATTTTTATGCTTTCTAAAATCCCTCTTTATCTAAATAGCAAAAAGAGAGGGAAGAGAGAATGATGAAATTTTCCAACAAGATTCATGACTGGAAGAAGTATGCAAAAGGCATCAATACTAGTTTTAAAATGTCATCTTGTAAAAAACACCTA